TGTTCTTTATATTAAATACTTTTCTACCGATTTACCTACAAAATACTGAGAATCCACTATTCATGCATAGCTTCAGGCAAATACATGGCAGGAAAAATAAGTGCTTGAGGTCTTGAATCACAAGTACCCTCAACATCCATACTTTCCCAGTTGAAAGTATGTCAGCAATACAATCTGAATTATATGTTCACTTTCAACCCTCCCCTCTCATAGTTACCTTAGGACAAAATTATACTCTTCCAATTACAGGGGCAGTTCAAATCGATACAAAGGTGGGAGAAAACAGATCATTTTTCTTATGGAACTGTTTTCATTAATTTTTCATTAGACCTGCTTCGGTTTTACTATCCATCACTAGCAGAGCTGCTGTGCAGTAGATTACATTTCAGTTATCTTCCATGCTTCCAGGATTTAGTAGATATTGCTTGATAATGCTGCAAGCATTGTGGCTTTAACTTTTAATGATCAATAATGTTCCAGGAAAAGTTACAGTACTATTTTTCTAGTAGCACCAGTTAGAATTGTCTCACTTCTCTAAGTCAAAATGGTTTGTCGTCTGAGTAATTCTGGAATAGACTTTGAACATGGATTACATAAACTGCTCCTTCACATACTTTTAAAAAATAAACTTATGAAAATTAACTGAGGATGTTAGTTAAGCTTGTTGCTGTATAAACCAATGAGAGAAGTAGGTTTTTTTTTCAGTCATCAGAGCAAGAGTGATTATTTTAAACAAGGATTAAGATAGTTATTAAAATATATGGATTCTATTGCCACAACAAAAGCATTATGCTTTGAACATCTATAGTATACATAATATTAAGCCACATAATTACTACCTTGTAACTATAGGGCTTAATATTAGTCAAACTTAACAAGAAAGTTTAATGCAACTGTACATCACACAATCCATCTAATAAAAAATATTCAACTTTGTAACTATGTGTTTGAAATAATTACTTGTTTCATATTTATTGATAATATCCAATGAAAATACAAAATATTCATTGAAACTAATCTTTGCAAACTACTACCAGATGTCCAGTCTCATCAAATAAACTAATTAGCCTCACAAACAAATCTTCCTAAAAGATATGGCTCACTCCTGAAAGTACTAATAATTAGAATAGCTGTATCAATAAACAAGATGGGAAAAACTACCAAGTCAAGCTAGCTTAATGCTAATGCTAAACACATGTGAAGTGTGTTAGACTTAAATTAACTTAAACTTAACTTAAACTTCTGTATAGCTATAAATCATAGGCTGCTGGAACCAAAAACTAGGCCAAGCCAGAGATCTCATAAGGAGTATTTTCCCCTGGAAAGGCAACACTGACAAAATAAAACCTCGTTATATATTTGAATTATGAAGGTATGCAGTTGTTGTGATCAACTGCAGCTCAAGCCAGAGACAGTAGTACCATGCCTCCCATTCCACTCTCCACCCATAAATTAAGATAAAATCTTAACTGTAGTTACCCATTGGTTGGTATTTCCAGCCAATATGGTAATTGGCATTAATAAAGCTTCAAGATTAAATTTTTATTACTGTATGATTCCCTCACTAGAAACATGCTCTCTTAGTAATTTAGCAATAACTCAGAGATCCTAAGCCCACTGAGATTCTTTTGGGACCTGTATGTTGATAAGTTTCTAATCAGATATTGACTTATGATTTTCCCCTTTTGGGGGATGCAATGAGGTTCAGATATCATACAGGACAAATTAATTGTATGGAAATCTCAAGAAAATATACAGTAGAACTAGAAATCATAAAGATTATGGGCTGCTAGCTGGAAAATGGCAATTCAATTTCCCTTTCTTCCTTTGATGTCTAGCACAATGTATTCTTTGTTTTAACATTAGTATAATTCCCTGACAGTTATAACCAGTAATAGAGAACAGAAACAGAAATAGGCCACTGTCAGTGTTTAGAAAAAGAGCCGTTTATAGATAGGAAAAGGGAAATTTACAGAGAGTAATTTTTCAGCATCAACTGGGACTTGTTTTTAAATGGTAGTTTATTTATAAGTTAGAAATGCTAAATTGGGCTCTTCATAATTCTTTAATGCTAAACTTAACAATCAATAATTCATGTCTATTGTATATGTGAGCTCAGATGAAATAAAGAAAATGCAAATTAAAATTATAACCTATATAGTTTGAGTTGTTTCACATTTCTGAACTACCATGTCTCTCAGAGGGACTCTGTTGCTCTTACCTTTTGTACCCATTTATAAAAATGACTGCAGATGTGTAATAGTTTTTATATTGAATGTCTATTGTTAAATTGGAAAGTGGTCAGTATGATATAAAAGAAAGGGATCAACACTTTTGTAGAGAGAAAAAAATCATTTTTTTCCTTTTAGAAATAAATTGATAAATAAAACAAAAATATCCAACTTTCCAATATAATTTTGAATTAAAAATACAAAATTGTGAGATAGAGAACATGTGATCTAACATGTCAATTTTTTCTTAGGTGTAGGTAATCAAATCAGTGAGGAAATAGCCAAAGATGACAAGAAACTTTAATGCAAAGTATTGATCTTACTCCTGGTGATCTCTTACTCTCGCAAGAAATAATAAAGCACTCACATTGAAGTCTGAAATATTTAAGTGGCCCGAGGGGCTTGGAGCTTTCTTGGTTTCATTTCCACTGTAAATAAACCTCAGGCTGCAGGAATGTCTGTATTCAAATGCCACTTGTCCAATGGAAGTATTTCCTAATAGAGAATTTTGAAGGACAAGAATGACAGAATAATTGGTTTTTAGTTTCTAAAGAAATAATTAAAAAAGAACAATGGTCAATATTATTGCAGAGTTTTAAAAAATCTATTTCCCTCCCTGATGTCAGTTTAGTTTATCCTTTCTCTTTGGCAAAATGGTGATCAAAGACAAGCATGTTGATAAAAAAAAATACAGAATTTAGGTAAGCATGCTCCTAAATATTTATTCTACTTGTAAAGTTCAAATTCAGATTCCAAAGCTTAAAGAAGAAGTGTAATTGGAATCCCTTTAATAGACAAACCTGCATTTGTTCTATTTGATAATACTTCAGTCATGCTCAACAGGAAGTTGTACTATGTGGAAAGTAAATTCCTTATTGCTATTTGTCCTATACATTGGACAAAAACCGGTGGTCTCTCTTACTTCTAGAGCTTTAAAACTAATATTAAAAATTGTATCATTCCCTTCATCTGTCTACTTTCAACTTGATTTCTTTTCTGTTTCTGCGTCAAGCACTTGGAGCATTTCTCAATGAATGGTTCTATGGTATAAGCTGTTCTCCCTGGGGGCTGCAGCTATTTTGTATATTATGTGCTCTCTTGCTTTGTATACCAGTTTTGGAAACACTCTGTTCAGTTAAGATTATTAAATAAGAAACAAATCTCTACAAATTTTATTGATTAGACTCATTTCGAGTGGTCTAAGTACGTTTTAAAGAAATAATCAGATCAACCGTCAGAGAACCACAAAGAGGCATTTGTACTGGTTAAAAATGCATTCAAAATCAATATAAGCAACAATGATCAATTTGCCGTCAGAAATTTGTTTCATTCGCAACTCCAGCCACATTATTCTGAGGAAGTCATATTGTACGCTCTTTTCAGTATATGTACCCAGCAGACCCTTTGGTACCACTTAAATCATGTTGAAAGAATACATAATCTTGGCAGCTGATGTTCCATTTTTTATGAGTTACAGCAATATATAGCATCCACTGGTGAAATAAAATGTAGGTTTTTTTTTTTAAAAAAAGCTAAATTATAATCACGTTTCAGAAATTATTACCTTGTAAAAAGAGAGCTGCTCATTTTTTCTTATTTAATATATTTATTGCTCGTTATCTACCAATCTGATTTAACAAATGACATTTAACAGACTGTTCAAGATTCTGCTCCCTTTGTATATAGCTAATCAGGCTTACCAAGAAGTCTACATTTTGTTACCCCTGTATCATGTTCATTCAGCTCATAACCTCGGATTCCATGACTGATCTAGAATGTAATGTCATTGATATTCCAGTCCTCCAAAATCTGTAATTCAATTCATAACATTCAGTGAAGAAATGTTTATCTGACTAATAAAATTAGAAAGGAACGTGCTACAATGTCTATTTCAGACAACTGAACAAGAACAAATTGCCAACAAAGATTCCATATCCCATCGAACACAAAAAACACAGTAATTTCAGCTGCACCATTTGTAAGTGGGAAAAACAACTTTCAACAACACATATGTGCTGTCATTTTTCTATCAAATATCCTGTATAAGAGTTTTAACCATGTAAAGACTATTGGTTCCTATGAACGACAGTGTGCTACATATAGAATATGATAAAATTTCCCTATCATCTCATTCTTAAAATTCAGTGTCTGGACCATCTACTTTAAAAAAGGAGGGATTGTGTATAATGTTAAATGTAACTACAGACAGTGTTATTGAATTTTATTTTTCTTATACGTTTGTAGATTTTTCTGATTAAAAAGGAATATTTTTCCAACTTTTCTGTTCCTTCCATTTTACCATAGTGCAAAATAAGAAAAAAAATGCACATCCATTAAAACTAATTCCCATTAAAAATAAGCATATAACAATAATCCAAATACAGCAATGCAGTATTACTGCTATTGTCCAAATTTACAGATTTGGGAACACAAATTCAGTATACCTTCTCAAAGAAACTGTATGTTAATATTATTGCCATCCATCATTTTTACCTTAACTGCTTATGATACATATGACATTGGATAAATGAGAGTATATTAATTTTACAAGCTTTCACTTCTGGAATAGCACAAGATTACTTGTGTCCATCAACATATTTTAGGAATTTATTTGTTCAGTTGTGGAATGTAATTAGGTTATTTCAAATTAAAAAAAACCCTAACTGATAATGCTTTTAGCTTTTATTGTTTAGAGCTATGTTGGATGGATGTTAGATTGTATATAGATTCTTTGTGGGAAAGGATACTGTAATAGCGTTGAAGAGTTTGGGGCTTCTGCAGTATAATTTGTAATATCTTCCAAACCCACTTAGTTAATATAACTTGGACAAAAAAGGGGGAACTATGTCATTCCTTGAGAAGAGGAACTTTAAAACATGTAACATAAAACTCTTATTCAGACCAACTTAAGCAATGTGCTATTTCTTAAATTTTTATAGATTCATGCTCCTATTTTTTCATTCTTTTTTAAAGTCATCAATTTTTTTCCAAACTTCACATTAAAAAACAGGTAAAGAAAAAAGATAAAACAACTGCAACTGCAATATATCCCAATATTATAAAGCAGTACAAATTTTGCCTACTAATAAAAGTTTTCTCAGTCAGTTTTCTACTCATATTGGGAAAAAAGAACTAATAGCCAATAATTATTCTTATGGGTCCAGACAATATGGTATTTCTCATTTTAATAAAAGTGTAGATTAAACATAGATGACTTCAGATACCAAAGTAACAAAGTAATGCATTATTTCTTTGTAACTCCCGGTAACTTCATGAATGTGTCCACATGTATCAAAGAGGTTTACTAATGGCTTCCTTTATTACTGAATTAGTACAAAGTGAATGAAATCCCAGTAACTGATGACGATAGTGGTAGGCAACCATCTTTCCTGTTTTGAGAAAGGCAAAACAATGCAGAATAGAAGCATACTTTGTAAAAAAAAATTAATGTAAGATTTAAGAGGACAAATCTAAAAACACTGATGAAGCTATACCGAGATGTTAGGTGTAAATCTCCAATTAACTGTTTTACCAAATCTTAAAAAAAAAAATCTATAAAATTCTAGGACTAACATTGGGATTTTATCATAAAGCCACCTTTTCAAACAAGGCTAAAATCAGTGAAGAGAAAGTAGCACCATAAAGCGCAATGGATTTTCTTTTGCTAGAATGGATTAGATACCTTTTTTTACTAACTTCTTCGTGCCTTCATATTTTTTCCAAACAGAATTCATTGTTTACAGTGCAGTTCTATACGTATCTCCTGAGATCAGTAAGACTGATTCTCAGACATTGTATATGGCATTGCACTCTATAAATGCATAAAATGCATAACAGTGAATTAAAGGTTATGTTTTAAAAAGATTGTCTTGTTATTTAATGCCAATTTTAATAGTTCCTTTTAAGTGAATTTATTGTACTTCATATATTATTAAGTTAAAAAAACACTTCTGAACTCATTACTCAAACCAGGGCAATTCTACTGTATAATAATAAATTCTAGATCCTTTTTAGAAAGAGAAAAATGTTCACATCTGTCAGGTGGGCAGAAGTATATGACTTCTGTACAAGCTACATTTTTAAATCCTTGCTTATGACCTTTTATTATGCAATGGATGAAGAAAACTCTTCTGGAGTTCTGTTCAGTCACTTCCAAAGCAGGCATCTGTAAACTTGATTCAAGGTGTATACACTGAAAAGCTGACTGCCATTTAATAATGGAAAACAGAAAAGAGATGTTAGCTTCCAGTAATGGCAATGGTTTCTTCATGGTCAATCAGGCCTTACTGAGGCCTAGGAGACTTAATGGCCATCACAGCACCAACCTCACTTACCCATTTTTATTTTCTTTTGCAAACATAATGTTTCACATATACATATTTTACACCTTGAAGTTATTATTACTATTCCAATGCTCTCATCTGAATACAGGCATGGTCTCTATATTTGATATAAACATATCTTTATTCAACTTTTCATTCTAAAGCTGTTTGGTGTCCCAACTGCACATGAAAAAGGTTCCCCTTGTGTTGCATAAGAAAAAGTGTCCTTAGTCCAGAGGTTCTTGTTTTATTCGAATGACTGAAGATGAACGAGATGTCCTTCTGAGTTCTCGCTTAAGTACGTATTCACTGAATTGGGAAGAGTCCACTCCTCCCCCACATGAGCCAACAATTTCAAATCCTCTTTGTTGCAATCTCTCAAGTACCTACGAAACATAAAAAGTACAAGCAGATGCCTAAGTGCAAAAAATGTCATTCAGAAATAATAAATTAATCCATTCCATCATTATTAAAATGTATCTCTGAAATGTTTCTCTGTAGCTGGTATTCAAAACATGATACAATTATTTATACAACTGCATAATAATTCTGAATGAGTTTTCTGAATTTTAACAGAAGGTAAGATAAGTGATGATGCCGTTAGCCTTATTTTTAACTAAGTATTCACATATATCATTTTTAATTTTTTTAAACCTAAAACATAGAATCAAAGTAACAGAAATTCTGTTTTATAGAAATAAATACAATATGTAGAGATAAATGCAATACACCTGAGAAGAAAGGCAACTCAAATGGACAATACTGAGAATACATGGGCTTGGTAATGTTTCTGTAAAAACATTTTGTTTGATCAAGCACTACCTTATACAGTGCTCATTTCTGGGCTACTCACTTTAAGGAAATTCATGACTAGACAAGGTTAAGAGAAAGATGGTAAGGAAACAGGAAAGAAAGACCTATGAAGAAAGGTTAAAAGTACAGATACTTATATGAATACTTGAAAGAATGCCACATAACAATTCAGGACCTGTTTTCTCTTGTTCCCGAATGCAAAACTTGAAATAACGTATTTAAGTCACAAGAAATATGATTCTGATATATAGTTAAAAAACAAGAAAGGCCCTTTACCATGAAATTACTAGATGATAAGCTCTCCTTCATTGCATATATTCGAGAGGAGGTTATACAGCTGTCTGTCTGCAGTTCACTATTTTAATTCCTGTATTGCTTTTCTCTGTCCAAGTCTTTTCATCTATTGTTTCGAAGTCTCATCTCTTTTCATACAAACGGTATTCCAAATGCCTAAATCTGCCTTGCTCTGTATGTGTGATATAGAAGGCAACTATTCCTGCTTCCATCTAGTTAAACAGTATTATGAATATAGATTAAAATGGAAAAAAGAAAAAAAAAGCTAATACACTGATTACATACCTGAACTGAATTGAGGTGACAATATCCATTCAATGGAAATCTGATGACATGCGTCGAGTCATGATTCCAACCTGCATTGACTGAATTGCACATCACGTCACCAATTTCTGGGAAAACCTCTTCTATTAAAGATTTATCTCCACTCAAAGTAATTCTTTCTCCAAGATCCGGAGCAACACGTACAACCAAGCACTCACAAGATTTTGAAAACCGGCCTGTCTCTCGATCCTGTTTCCATCTTTCCATTTCCCCTAGCATGGGCTGAAGCTGAAAATACTTTGCTTCTTCATATAACAAACTGTAATCCTGAAAGATATATGATATTTAGTACCACAGTAAAAAAAATCTCATTAGGTAGTATCTGAATAGTTATTATTTAAGTATAGTAGGCTAAAGGCTAACAGCAATTTATGGAGAACTCTACATTAACGGAAGTCTCTTTTTTTCCCCACCTAATAAGACCTTACGGATATTTTCACATTAAGAGAGACAGGCTGCTGTGCTGTTTTGCATTTTTATTCTCTTCTATGTGTAAGACACATACTATGTTATTACTCACAACATTATGTTACATTATACATACATATACATTTACATATTTTATTGTGATTTATCACACAGCTTTACATTTTATCAAATGAAGAGAAAGAAAATATTGTAGATATTGGAATGAAGAGTCCAACAGTAGGATAATGCCGTTAATTACTATTGGGATTATTTTTACACGACTTCCATACAGTTCTGTTCATAATGCATATATGCAAAAGAGAATCAAGTGTAAGAAAATACATATAATAAATATTAATAAATGTTGACATACAATTATTATCCAGTTTAGAAACATTAATATGTGAAACCTTAGAAATAGATTGTGGACAGCAAGATTGTGAGACTCATTTTGAAAGTATTAAAATGAAGCATATTAATTGAGAACAGGTGCCATAAATTGTTAAAAATAAGATTATGGTTGGAGAGAATTCCCTTGATGTGTTTTTTTTGTGTTTTTTTGTTGTGGTCTCAGTAAATATTTTTCTGTACCTGGTATGTAATGTGGTGCGATATTCTAAGCAAGCTAATCACAAACAAACATATTCAGGCCTACCTGGAAATAAAGTTAAGTGAGTTCAATGAAACCCACAAATAAAATTAAATAGGACCTGCATTAACAATTACAAAATATTAACACATATTTAATGTATCTAAAAAAAGGTTTCCAATATCAATCATTCAACTTGTTAAATGTTTATGGAGAATCTCAGTCATCCAGGTCAGGGATCTCCAACCTCGGCAACTTTAAGCCTGGAGGACTTCAACTCCCTGGTTGGGGAATTCTGGGAGTTGAAGTCCTCTAAGCTTAAAGTTGCTGAAGTTGGAGACCCCTGATCCAGGTAATGCTTGTCCTAAAGGTACTTTTTCAAAAGGCAACTGGACTTTCTTGGTTTTTTCTTGAAGATGTTTCGCTTCTCATCCAAGCTGAAGACATTCAACTTGTTCTATTTCTACTATTAAGACTTTTATTATAATAAATCTTTATTTTTTAATATAATAAACATTTACACATGTGTGGTTTCAAATTTTAAGTAGTTTAGTAATAGTGCTGTATTGGTGTCCCTATATACGCACATTAAACTTTATACATTTAACATGATGTGCTTTGGTATGTCACAACTGGAAAACTAAAAAGGATCTAAACCCAAAGTTAAGAACAATAGGAAGTGCTCTTCTGAGGCAGACTCATAGTGTTATAATAATCTGTAGATTATTGCTCAAGAATTTTTATTTATCAAAATTTGAAATATTTAAAAGTCTTAACTAGAAATAAAGCTAAATATTATTTTTTAAAAAAATATAAGCGGAAATTAACAGTAAATTACTAATTGAGCAGAATCAGTTTGGTGTAGTAGTTAAGGCACTAGGCTACAAAACAGGAGTTTTTGAGTTGTAGTTTTATCCTAGACACAAAGCTACCTGAGTGATCTTCAGCCACTCTCTGAACCCTAGGAAGGATAGTATCCAGGAGTCATTTTTTTTCATCTCCGTGTTTCAGAAGATGCTGGATAGTTCAATTTTATTTTAATTAATTACATGAAATATTGAGTTTAGGATTGGATTTGATAGCTTAAACATTCCCTTTCAACTCTAGGATTTTAAGTGTAAGATTGTGATTTGTACTTTAATAATTTTTTCTATCTTTGGAAGGACTTGAATCACGCATGTAGTTCCTTCAGATTAGATTCAAAATCTGAAGAACCTCCTGATCAGATCATAAGAATGTTGTGAAGATAAACTATGGAAGGGCAAAGAACATCATATGCCGATTTCACTATTTGAAGAAAAGTTGGGTAAAAATACATACATTTATGATTTCCTGAATCATGTTATAATATTGATTCAAATACAGTAAGTCACATTAATAAACAAGCCACATATATGGTTTAAATAAAGCACATATATTAAAATTGAATTACATGAAACATAAGTTGCATAAAAGGTTAACTGGTTCATATCAAGGACTCATTTTACTCTGCATTTTGTTTCCAGTAATACCCCCAAGAAGACTGTAAGGTGATAAATATGAAAACAGCAGCTTGTTTTTTCCATTAATGTCCACTAGAAGTTGGTTTTCAGAAGCAAGCTGATAATAAAAAGTATTAAGTTCCCAAAGCAAACATGGTTTAGCAAGAGATAATCCAGGCTGCATCTTCTTCAGCCTTTCCTCCTCCGCTGCCAGCACCCCTGCCCCTCAATGCTATCAGCAACTTGCCTTCCTTTGCTTATCCTTTCCTCCCCTCAGGTGCCAACACCTTGGATTTTTCTCTACCATCTTCAAGTGAATGTGCCCCAAAAGAAACAATCCCATCTTGTGCTACGTATAAAGAAAAACAGCCCTGTTTAAGGACAGACCAAGACTTCTGAAGCAGGCATGTTTGAGTTGAGGCACAGCTACCTAAAGGCAGCATACATTTGGCACTACCATACTTTTAAAATTAGAATTGGAATATTGCTTTGCTAATTTCAAATAGCTATTTTAATCATCTATACTTTGCCAAAACCAATCAAAGAAATTATTCCCCAAGTGTTTTATAATTGTTAACTAGTGTTACTCAAACAATTGCTTCATAATCCTTCTGTTATTATGAAGATGACAATAAATATAATTCACCTTGAAATCATCTGGTATGAGTAGTTTTGAAGTTCGTAGAAAATTCAAAATATATCTGAACATTTGGCCATCTCTATCGATGAAGTAGTGCTGCTTCAGGCTATCCAAAACAATGGGCTCTGTGCCATCAAATAGCCTCCCAATTCTGAAAATAAAAGAGAAATCAAGACTAACATAAATTTGCCATCAGCACACATAGCCATTAGTAAGAAATAAATCCTATTATCCTAATGGCTTGATTTCAGTGTTTCAATGTCTAATCAGCTAGTTACAATGAAAACAGAGCAACAAGGGTATCATCTCTCTTTCTATAGTTTCTTAAAGCAGATCTGGGAATAAACCAATTGAGCTAAGTGAAGGTTTTGTTTGGCAAAATATGCATAGGATTGTACAATAAAACATTTGCTATTACTCGATGAAGACCTATCAATTTTAAGGACCTATAACCATTTCCTTTAGTTAAAGTATCTTACAACATAAATATCCAGGACAGAGATTACAATAGTCTTCTCTGTATCTCCTGAAATTATTTTTGTTATACTCAAAGTACCGTATATACTCGAGTATAAGTCGACCCGAATATAAGCCGAGGCACCTAATTTTGCCACAAAAAACTGGGAAAACTTATTGACTCAAGTATAAGCTGAGTTTTTCAGCACATTTTTTGTGCTGAAAAAAAACCCCTCGGCTTATACTCAAGTGAGATTCCCTCTGAAAAAAAAAATGGTGTGGAGCTCCAGAGTTAAATGGTGTGGGCAGCCGCTTCCCTGCTTCTGTGTTTCCTTTGCAACTTGTAAGCATGGGGGTAATCGGAAGCAGAAAAGTTCTTGCATGAGGATATATTGTTTTTTCTTTATTTAACTGTTTTTAAGGGGGGAAAAAAACCCACCATCATGTGAGAATGCTCAGACACGAAATCTATCCGCCTGAAAATAAGTGTGTGTGTGGGGGGGATTTTAACAGAGGGAAGACATAGGAAGAAGGCAAAAGCGACGGAAGTTCCTTCAGAGGAAACTGAGGGGGAGACTCACCCTTGGTCCAGATGAGCCCCCTTCCCCGCCCCTAAGGAAGCAGAGGCAGCCAGCAAGGGCAGGCAAGCCCCGCTTCGTGGACTCCGTCCGTCCTCGCTCCCTCACACCCACCCAAAGCCACGAAGTCCCCCAATCGCGCAGCCCAGAATCGCCCTCCCCTCAGGGGGCAGCAACGACACCCGGTGTTTCCTGAAACAAGAAGCTCCGCCGTGCAATGAAAGCGCCCTAGCTCTAGGCTCAGAAAACAACGCGAGCCGAGGTGGCTTCGTTTCCTCAGCCCTAGCTGCTTTCAGTCCACTCGGGAGGAGGAGGGGGAGGAGGAGGTGGTGGCAGCGGCTTGCGTTATTTTCTGAGCTCTAGGCTCGCGATCTCAGAAAGCAACGCGAGCTGAGGTGGCTTCGTTTCCTCAGCTCTAGCTGCTTTCAGTCAACTCGGGAGGAGGAGGGGGAGGAGGAGGTGGTGGCAGCGGCTCACGTTATTTTCTGAGCTCTAGGCTCGCGATCTCAGAAAGCAACGCGAACCGAGGTGGCTTCGTTTCCTCAGCCCTAGCTGCTTTCAGTCCGCTCGGGAGGAGGAGGGGGAGGAGGCGGCGGCGGCAGGCGTTGTTTTCCTTAGGGGCAGGGAAGGGGGCTCATCTGGACCAAGGGTGAGTCTCCCCCTCAGTTTCCCCTGAAGGATCTTCTGTCGCTTTTGCCTTCTCCCTATGTCTTCCCTCTGTTAAAATCCCCCCCACACACACACACTTATTTTCAGGCGGATAGATTTCGTATCTGAGCATTCTCACATGATGGTGGGACTTCGCCCCCTCTAAAAACAGTTAAATAAAGAAAAAACAATATATCCTCATGCAAGAACTTTTCTGCTTCCGATTACCCCCATGCTTACAAGTTGCAAAGGAAACACAGAAGCAGGGAAGCGGCTGCCCACACCATTTAACTCTGGAGCTCCACACCATTTTTTTTTTTTTCAGAGGGAATCTCACTTGAGTATAAGCCGAGGGGTTTTTTTTCAGCACAAAAAATGTGCTGAAAAACTCGGCTTATACTCAAGTCAATAAGTTTTCCCAGTTTTTTGTGGCAAAATTAGGTGCCTCAGCTTATATTCGGGTCGACTTATACTCGAGTATATACGGTACTTTGAGTATAACAAAAATAATTTCAGGAGATACAGAGAAGACTATTGTAATCTCTGTCCTGGATATTTATGTTGTAAGATACTTTAACTAAAGGAAATGGTTATAGGTCCTTAAAATTGATAGGTCTTCATCGAGTAATAGCAAATGTTTTATTGTACAATCCTATGCATATTTACAAGTTACAAGTTGCAAAGGAAACACGGAAGCAGGGAAACGGCTGCCCAGCTCTGGAGCTCCACACCATTTTTTTTTTTCAGAGGGAATCTGACTCGAGTATAAGCCGAGGGGGTTTTTTTCAGCACAAAAAATGTGCTGAAAAACTCGGCTTATACTCGAGTATATACGGTATTTATTTGTTCATTCTTAAAATGTCAGAAAACTTCAAAAGCTTAATTCAAAGACTCTAAATAAATTGCCATAAGATAAGATAGTTCCTTTTTTTGGTTACTAACCGCTAACAAAGAATAGGAATAAATAAGGAGAAAGTCTACCTATAAGGTTGCTAGAAGCAACCATGAGCTGTGGTGGCAGAGTGGCCAAAATGCAGTACTGCAGGCTAACTCTGCTCACATTGCCAGGAGTTCAATTCCTTCCATCCTAACCAGCTCCAGGTTGACTCAGCCTTCCATCCTTCCGAGGTCAGTAAAATGAGGACCCAGATTGTTGGGGGTAATATACTGACTCTGTAAACTGCTTAGAGAGGGCTGTAAAGCACTGTGAAGCGGTATATAGCGTATTTTTCAGAGTATAAGACACACCTAGTTTTGGGGGAGGAAAACAAGGGAAAAAAATCTGCCTCTGACTCCGTGCAATTTGCCTCCTTGCAGCAAACAGCCTGGTCAGCTTCAGCACAGCCTGATTAGCATAATCAGCTCATTGTTGGTTGGATCGACCTCCCGATGATCAGCTGTTTCAGGCTGCAGGGATTGCCATTGCTATTGCACGCTCCATTTTCAACCTCCGCACATCCCATTTTAAGTCTCTGTGCACCCCATTTTCCACCTGTTCAGGTCCCCCTGCCCAGAAAGGGCCGAAAATGGGGCCTGCGAAGGCCGAAAACAGGGCCTGTGGAAGCCAAAAATGGGATGTGGACCCTGAAAATGGGGCATGTGGAGGCACCAATAGGCGATGGCAATCCCTGCAGCCTGAAACAGCTGATCGCTGGGAGGCCAATCCAAGCGACAATCAGCTGCTTGTGCTAATCAGACTGTCCTGAAGCTGACCAGGCTGTTTGCTGCTAGGAGGCAAATTGCTGGGAGGTAGAGGCCGAAGGGTGGGGGCTGGCAGGTGAGCGGGGCTTCAGCAACATTCACTGTATAACACGCACAGACATTTCCACCCACTTTTGGGTGTGTGTGTGTGTTAGGAATGTAAGTCACCTAACAGCTATTTAGGTTGGACAATATATGTCAGGATAGACATTTTAATACTGCCTCTTTAAGGGAATGCTAAAAGTGTAATTGGGTGTCATTTCTCAAATGGCCATAAGATGGAGCCAGAAACCTGGGTTGTTTAATCTTAGTTTCAGAAGAGAGTGTGTCTCAGTGACTCTGTTTTCTTTCTGTTGGAGAGTATTGCCGTTCCTCCTAATTGACTGCTATTCTTGGATTTGATGTAAGTCTGTTACTGAACTGTTTTTGATACTGGACTTTGTTACTGGATTATCCCTGGACTGAAAACTGACTGATTTTACCTGTGAATGACTTTGGACTGCTTATTTTGAACTTTGCTTAAACATTTAGGGAAGTAAAAACCTACATTTACTGTACAATGTATCTGTGTGCTGTGTGTGTATTATTCAAACACTACTCTCACTACGTCTCCCTGTATGTCCTCATTCTCCTAACGGAGAATTACCTCAACATATGGCCCAGGCCATACCAGGTTCAGATAACTGAGAGTTAGTGTGAATGCACAGTACTGTATACAGACAGCTGTTTACTGTTTAATTGTGGGTTACTATCTTGGTAAAGATGGCACAAGTCACTTCAACAAGTCTATCACTGATAACCCTGTTGGATGGAACAAACCTGGTCTATGAAGTGCAGTCTACTTCTGCGTAGAGAAGGTTTATGGAATGTAGTTCAAAACCCACCGGATGTAAATGCTTGGGATCCAAATGAGGATGATGCCAAGAAGCTTGCTGACTTTAAACAGAACAACGAACGAGCTCTTTGTATAATTGGACTAACACTGAGTGACCAGCAGTTAGTCCATATTTGTGGAGAAGAGTCTGCTGCTAGGTATTGGGGAGAATTTGAGGAAGATTTATGTTCATGACAGTGTAGGTGCACACATACATCTTACAAGTAAACTGTTTAGAGCACATCTTCTGAAACGTGGAGATATGTTAGTTCATTTAAACTTAATGAAAAGAACTTTTCAAGAGCTACATGAAAAGGAACTGATATTTTCAGAGCTGCATCAAGTTTACATCATTCTTTCCTCATTGGATGAAAGTTATGATGATTATGTATCTTCACTGGAAGTCCTGCCCAGAGATAAACTGACATTGACTGACATAACTGGAAGGTTGTTAGAAGAGGCAAAAAGATGGCTGGATAGGGACCAACTGAGGAAGGAACAACCACAAGAAGAGGATTTGTCTTCAACTGTCTATGCTGTTAGGAAATGTTTTTCTTGTGGGGCTAGGGGACATATAGCTAGATTCTGTAAGAAAGGAAAACAACAGAATACTGATAATCACCAGAAGACCAGGAGGAATGTTAGTTTAGCTATGTCTAGCAATTCAACTGTAAACCATGATTTGTGGGTTGTTAATAGTGGAGCATTGTAATGTATTACTAAAGATAGAAAAAGGTTTGTAAAGATATTTATGAGTAGGCAACATGTATCATTGGCAAACAGATGGAAGTTGAAAGGATCCGGTGAAGGTACTGCATATTGTTCTTGTATAAATGAACATTTAACTATGTTATATGTACCTAAACTGAAATTTAATTTGTTATCAGTAAAGGC